TTTGCGAGAGTATCGGGTGAAAATTCTCGCCAACGAAGGGACCGATGGTCATCCACCCACGCTCTCTCTCTCTCTCTCTCTCTCTCTCTCTCTCTCTCCCCTCTCGCTTCCTTCTCATCACGCATACATGCACACGCGTGTACAATCAATCGGTCTTTCACCCTCCTCCTTTTCTCTCCTTTCCACGTCTCCTCGCGTATCTCATTCTTCTACAATCTTTCTCTCTCGTCTCTGGCTTTTTCGCTCTGTTCTCTCACGCGGATATCTCGTACCTCGTGCGGATCCTAGACGTCACCTAATCTATGGCGACATGTATATACAAAAAGAGTACCAAAAAAATAAATATATATGTAAATATATATATGTATATATAGATGTGGAAATTACTTTTGTTTATTTATTCCTCGTTACTAAACGTACGCAAGGTACGTATCGGTTAAACCACGATCATTTTTTACCGATTCGTTCTCGGATGACTAAATTTATGGTGTCGTAAGTATGCGTGTACGTGTGTATGTGTAGTAGTATACCTGTGTACATTTGTGTCGTGTATTTTTTTACGAATGCGTGACACGCGAAAGCGCGTCGTTAAAGATACTCGTCGTGCGAGGTTAATCTACGAGCTTATGGTTTCAACTGACGGTGCTGCTACGTATAAAACGTCCATCTATTAAGCGGAACACATAACGTTGCATACTGATATCCACCAACGCCGTTTCCATCGCTGGATCATCGCTCTCCTTCCTCTCTCTTTCTCTCTCTCTCTTTCTCTCTCTCTCTCTCTCTCTCTCTCACACGCACACTCGCTATCTATCTATCTATCTATCTATCTATCTATGTATCTATCTATCTATCTATCTATCTATCTGTCCCCCCGTCGAATCTCTTGGAATCTTGCCGTTCGAAGAGAGCGTTCGCTCCGGTTCACGACTCTATCCGGTAAAGAAGAGCGTGGTTCGCGGCAACGACGATTCCGCGATCGGAAACGACGCGTCGGGAATTACCACCGAGAAAAGACTCTCTGTTCCTCCTTCGAAGAATAGAATCTATTTAGTAACGCGCCTCCGTCGAGATGAGATTTCATTTGAACTACGTCGATTGCATCATTGCGTTTGATTATATACATCGAGCGAAGAAATTCGTTAGGATTAAGAAAACGTGCATCGCGACAGCCGTTTTAACGCGGATCGTATCGGTAGAAGAAGGATCGGTATCTACACAGGAGGTGTGTGTGTGTGTGTATACCCATGCAGTTTCTCTTCTTTTTCTTTTTTTTTTCCTTTTTTAAATTCTATCGACTCAGCGTTTTCGCGCGAAAAGAACGCGTTTCCTTCGAATCTCCTATATATCGGACGTATAAAGAGTAATTTGCTAGGAGCTCGCTCTAGCCACGTCTCTTCTCGCGTCAAGAAAATCTAACGCTCGTTGTGGAAGAGAACGTCGCTGCTCGCGTTTCGCGAGATTCGCTTGATCCGAATATACTAATCCACAGTGGAGAGACATTCACCGGTCGTTGTTCGAAAAAGAAACACGGAGGCCCAGGTACGCAGAACCGCGACTCACCGTCGAGATTAGTCCCGCGACCGATCTCGATCGAGAAATCTCGCTCCCGTTCGCTCACGGTTCCTGACTTTTCTGTCGCGCGCCTTCCAGTCACCCGACGCGACCGTTCGTTTTGTACTCTCTTTTTCCCGAAAACGAGTAGCAGACTGTCTCGCGGTACGATGCAAAATTCGACATCGTATCTTCGTTTTCTTTTCCCTATGATGATTTTGGAAGGGTCGCTCGGTTAAGATTTCAAGTATCGGTTGAGGATCTGGTACGGTTAAACCAACTTAACTCGCGTCTGCGCGTTAAGCCAGCCGGACTCTCGTTTTTTCCACGTCCGTTTTAATTACGTTTCTCTATTCTTTCGCTCTTCTAAACCCCCTGTTTATCCTTCCGCCTTCTCCCTTATTCTTCCTTATTCTCCCTTATTCTCCCCCTCTCTCTCCCTCTCCTCCCATTTCTTTCGTCCTTCCATCCTCCAATGTCTCTCGCACACACAGACGCGCACGCGTTCACGCGTTTTCTTGCTCCTGCGTTCTCGCTCTCGTTTCTAGATCCATTCCGTTCTCTCCCGTGCATTCGCTCCTCTCTCACACCCAATGATATATACCTTTGCTACGTATCTCGCACTCGAATAAGTTAATAAGTAAAAAATCGTTCGTTTTATCCAAATATTTTTATCTACGAGCGCGAGTTGCGTTATTCACGCGAAAAACGCATGTATATATGTGTGTTATATATACATATATATGTATATATATATATACTCTTTCTCATATACGTATATGTATATATATATATATATAAAACGCACCTATGTAACATATTCGATAAATTCTTAAAAGCTAAAGACTGTGTGATACAGATAATTACCTAATACACAGCGGTTCGAAGCGTGGATGTTTTTCATTATCTATTCAACGTTCAACGCGAACGGTTCTCATCGTCTCTC